GTTAATGGGGCGGACCGGGTCGACCCGTGTGAAGTGGACTGGGTCGTGGACAATTGTTTGGGCTCGGGGTTGAAAATTGAAGAAGTGGCCCAATCCGATTTTTATTTGTATTTTTGTTCTCTTTTCTTCTTTTATTTTCTAAAACTAAATTATAAAAATACTTAAATTATTATTAAGAACTAAATTAAGTTATAAAAGCGCAAATTAACTCCCAATAACAATTAACGCACAATTAAGTAATAATTAAGCATAAAATTGTTCATTTGGACATTAAATGCTAAAAATGCAAAAGATGCCTATTTTTGTAATTTTTAATTTTTGTAAAACTAATTTAATTACTAAATGAAATCCTACATGCAAAATGCGACATATTTTTATATTTTTTTATTAACTTAACAAATAAGCAAATGCAGACAAATACAAATGATTATCCAAAAGTATCACAAAATTACTCAAAATTGCACACCAAGAAAAATCATTTTATTTTGCATTTTCTGGGAGTATTTCTCATATAGGGCAAAAATCACGTGCTTACAAGTATAAAAAATTAAATTGCTAAAATGCAAACTTGAATAAATAAGGATGAAATAGAAGAAGACAAAGTATATTACAAATGGGTTGCTATAATTTTTATTTAGTTTTTAATTTTTTCAACAAATGAAAAATTCTTATATTTTTTTTATATATCAAGTTATTTGTTGCAAAATATTAGTAACTCATATTTGGTCATTTTACATTATCACTTATCAATTTTTTTATGAGCCAAAGGACAAAATCTTCATTTCCAAATTTCTAACGGCCCAAAGTATTAATTTCTCAATTTGTGTTATTTGATAACTTTTTGAATAGTCGTAATAAAAATATTCTTGTGCTTCTTATTTATTTTGTATTAAATTACAAAATTAGCAACAATTTGCTTGGGTATTCCCACAAAAGTTCTCAGTAATCACAACTAGGCATTTGAGAACTTTTGTGGTGCATGATTTCTTTGATTATTGAGGTTAAATACAATATCTAATATTCCATTGGTTAATAAAATGATAATGCTATTTTGTTTTTAGCACATTTAAAAAACTAATAATGTTTTTTAAAATTTAGAAATAATTTAGTATGGACATTTTATTTTGTATCTAATGATTAACTTTTATAGACACTCAAATATTATGGTATGTCTACGATTACAAGCTTCAAAAGTCTTCATTTCCTACTTTCTTAAATAAATACCATATCCAGTCAAACTATACAATGTAAATTGAAACAGATTGTTAATATTTATCTATTCTTTAAAGTTATGTACTCATTAAAATGAATACACGCGCAAAGCACGTACCCTAATATTAGTATAAATAATATTTGAGGCCTTATAATTTTTTAGGGCCTAAAGCCTTGGGGTTGAGCCGCCCCTGGAAGCAGCAACGAAACATCAGGATGACAAATATAGTGCCAAAACTTCTAAAAGTACCGTTAACCCTTCATAATATCCAATACAAAAATAACAAAACTTTCAATACATAAAACTATCTGAAAACCCCCTTAATTCCCCTCCTAATACGAATCAAACAAGCAAATGAAACCATCGAAATAGGACCAATAACAATTTATATGGACAATCACTAAAATAAAGATAAAACCCCTTCAATTTTGTAGCCTATAGTAAAAGAAATTTTTAAAAAAAAAACTAAAGCAAGAAAGAGAATAAATAATATCAGAGAAAACGAGAGCTGGAGAAAAAAAATCAGAGAAACCTATATGGAGAACTGAAAAAGAAAGGTGAAAAAATAAAAAAGAAAGATAAAAATAAAGAAGAAAGCCTAGAATATAAAGAAAATAAGGAAGAAATAAGAAAACATAATTTTTGAAAAAAGGTAATCTTAATTAGCCTACACAATCAGGCGAGGTTATTTTGATGGCTATTTTCATTCACCACGTGCCTTTTTGTGGGTCATGTCACAGATTTTACTAGATAATTAACGAAATAATCTATATATATTTATAATTGAGGGCCCTAAGTGTTAGACCCCTGACAAAGCTGATCGGCAAGTGGCACGGCAGTGGCGAGGATTTGGCATGATGGCCTTGCCATTGGCCTATGTGCCGGGGAAAATCAACATGCAAGACAATGCGGGGGTGTTGTCAATGGCAACAAGTTGTTGCTAAGGCAAGTGAGACGGACTACACTTGTATTTGAGGGTTAAGGTGTGACGGACTACACCAAAACAAGAGTGGGCTGCGTACAAGCAAGGCCAAGACCTTGACGGAACTAGGCGGGCTGGATGGGAGCTTGACAAGGCAAAACGGGAAAGACCTCGGCGCTAAAGTGAGGCAGCTTAGTGCCAAGGCATTGGCATTGGCAATGTGATGTTGCCATGACTTAGGTGAGCGGACTGGCACCTAAGTTAATTGTGGGCAAACAACTTGGCAAAGGGAAGGGCATCAAGGCTTGGTGACTTGATGTTAAAATCAGCATGGGCAACAGACAGACTTGATCAAGTAGGGGCGACTTGACAAGAACAATCAACTGTGGCAGCGGATTGGCGTGCGGCTAAGTCAAGGGTGACGAGCTGTGGCGATGGCATTAAGCGGAAGCAGTGTCAAAGGCTAAGGCTGGGCGCAAAGTCAGCCTTAGGCGTGCAGCAGCTGGCCAAGAAACGCGCACATGCAGCGCACATGGAGTGGTTTTCAAGTGTGTTGTGCACATGCCATGCAGTTGGCGGTTAAAACTGCCTTTGTCCAAGAGTTGCTGATTATAGGCTGAGTCTTTGCACGTTTTTGGGGCATGTTTTGAGACATGTCCCACACGTTTTGATCATGGGGATCATGTCCTATCAGTTGGGGGATGTCAACTGAACATAGGAGACTTTTTGGGGCTGACTACATTATATATATGTGTGCTAGCAGCCTTAAAAACGGGCTAAGTACCTAGGGAGGGAAATGTCTGAAAGATAGGCATATGGTTGTCTATTTTATGGCTTGAGCATGACAAAATATGTGCCATTGCCTTGCCAAACGAGTGGCAGCACGAGTAGCCTTAGGCAGGGGCTTTTATAGGGCGGATTCGTGCAAGTGTAGGCCATTTTTGTGAGTTGGTGCCTGCCAAGGGTGGCAGCACCTTGTCTAACTCGAGATTTTCCTTTGTAATTGATTTATTATAAAAGGTTGGGAAAGGGTTCCCGTAAATCTGTGTTGCCTTTGTTTATTCTTGTTGCCTTTAAATTATTCTAAGTGTTGAACCTCGGAACCGAACGAAAATTGGGTAAGGCTGAGGTCAAGTGGGGACTTGACTGCCGCACATCGGGCAGCATTTTCGGCGGACTGAAAACGCCCGTGTGACACTAAGCACGGTGATGTGGCACTCTTAAATAACAGCAATTGAATTTCCTCCGCTTTAGGTTTTTCAGCAACTTAAACCTCAAATTGAAGAAGAACCAAAACGCTTCGCATACCCAACTGCTTATACACGCACCACTTCAAAAAAAACCTTAAACTTTCACCCCCCTTTTCTCTATTCAATTTCCCCCATACTTCTAATTTGTTATTTTATTTCTATAAACTCAACTCATCTGCCTTCTTTTTATATTTCTTCTTTCTCTATGCTTACACAAATTCCGTTTCCTTCGACGCCAATGAAGACATCCAAAGAACACCATCATTCGACCACTGTTTCAGGTATTCCTCTATATTTATCATTTACGCCTTACTCTTATATATTTGACTCTTAGTAACTTGTATGAACCCTAATCTAATTGTATTGGTATGGACAAACAAGTATGTAAAAATACATCAAAGGCATGAGGTACAGTCCAAACTTTCTTCGCTATTATTTTTTCCCTCTAAATCAAAACTTATAATGTCAATATTCAATGGAAGTATACTTTTGTTTCCTAATCAGTAACTAAGGATGTACAAATTCTAAAATAGTTTCAAAAAATTCAAAGATTCTTAACTATTATGATTTTTTCATAATTGATACTAACTGTGTCGTTGATATGGAGTTGAAAAATGTTATATTACTGATAATTTCTTTCAGAACAATGTCTTTAAATATTCTACAATACTATACTTTTTTCCCTAATCAATAACTAAGGATCTAAAGATTCATTAAATATAGAGTGTTGCAATATTACCACTATTATACTTTTCCTGGTCTACCTTCTTGTGTTATGCTTGAAGATCAATACATACNAAGTTATGCTTGAAGATCAATACATGCATTTAACACAGGAGTTGTAGAAAAGGAAATAGGTGAAAGAAAGAAAATGTAAGAAGTAAAATCATTCTCTGGTAACTACATCCCTATGAGACTATTTTAAGGAGGTTGCTCCTTAATCAATTAATTTATCAGACCGTGAATTAAGTATATTTGTCTTTTGTCATTTTAATTATTAGGAGAAGATACATGCATCCGATACTGCATATGGCCTTTCACTGTTTCTGGGAAGTAGCTTGAAACTGGTTTGAGGCGAACTATATATATATATATATATATATATATATATATATTGCTGGTCCTCTCCTTGAGGCACATCACCATTGTATACGTCAAATCATTGCAGGGGCTGATTCAGTCTGTGTTTGAGCTGCCTGGTGGCTTCTTCTATTGGAGGTGTTTATATTGGTTTTCCCCGACCTTGCACTGCAGTCATTAGAACCAATATGTCCGAGAATGTTGATTCAGGTGAAATTTTTTCCTGTTGTTTTTCTTCTTCTTTTTTTATTTGGATTTTACATTGTTTATCCTGAGATTGAAATTTATGTATTAACAAAAAAGTGTGAAAAAAGAAGGAAAAATGAAAATAGCATTTGAAATTGGTGTTTGCAACATATAGGTTTTATAATGATATTGAAGTATGCTTAGTATGTTAAAAGTGACATAATTTTTTTTGTTTCCATTGTGTTTATACTTGCCTGTAACCTGAGGTATATGGAGATTCTTGGTCAAACTCCATGTTGAAATTGTACTTATATGGTCGTCGTACAAAGGAACAAGCAAAGTGGTAGAAAAGAGAGGTTGAACACCATTCCCGCTTTCCTTCTCCGAGGGAAAAAAGTAATGTGCCCAACTCCAATTGATATTGTTCTTTATTCGTGAAACTTATATAATTATTTGAATCTTAGAGATATATTTCTACGTCTCATATTCTTGATTTTTCTTCATCTTTAGGTTGATATGTTTGTATCTTTTGGTCATTTTATTGTCCATTTTGTAAGATTTACTTAATCTTGAATGTGTTCACTTATTAAAGCTTTCATCTAACATTTATGCATGGATAAAATGTCCCGTCAATTGTTCATGGACACATAATAAGATAACGATGTTGCTTTTCTCATTTGGATATGTAATTAGGTAACATGTTACCTTTCTCACACGGATACATAGTGCAGCAAAGATGGTGCATTTGTTATTCCAGATTGAGATGAGAACTCTTGAAATTGGTTGGAGTAATATTTGAACATTTTGAATATTCATTTTCAGTAAAAGAGCAGACACTTGGACGTTTCTCTTTGTTAGCATTTTTTTTCTCGGAATTTGTTTTGGTGGATTTTGGGTTATGAAAGTAGACTTTTCTTTGTAGATACCATGAGAACGGTGGGCTATTCTGATATCATTGTTTTAATACACGTCGAAAGGTGGTGGTGCTAGCAGCAAGTATTCCAGTTGTTTATACAAGAGATGATCCTGGACAACGTCGTGGTTATATGTTGTGACAAATTAAAGCTTAATTAATCATCTCTTCATTTTTCATCATTCTCTTAGAACTTAGATATCATAAGCTTTTATCGAAGTAGCGTCACAAATGTTTTCATGAATGTTATTTATTATATATTTTTGGCCTTTTTTGCCTTTTTCACTCTATATTCTGCCCCTTTAAAGATTTTTGGTTCTTTTGTTTTCTCTTTAACCTTCTTAAAGTCTTCCACATAATGATTGCCAAAAGTTTAAACTGAATGAGGCAATTAAGTATTTTGGTCTTTCGCTCAGCTATATTTTATTTTTAATTCTTTTCAGATTTTGGTGTGTGTCCTATGCCTCTTCATTTTTATTAGCCCATTTTATGTCCATCCTACATCCTTTTTCTTTTCCCTTTGTTTTCTTCTCAGTGTGTATTTTGATGGAATCAGAAGGTATCGAATTTTATGGGATAAACTTTGAGATGTATTTACATTGGGAGCATATTATTTATCATGCGGATGGTAATTCTTATATGTTCTTGAATATGGTATGATCAGTAAGTGCTCCGCTTCAGTTGAAATTAGTGTAAGTATGATGTAGTCCTTTTAACTTTTGTTGTTCAATTAGTTTTGATTGTTATTTAGCTGTTTCATGAGCATTAGAACTACTATCATTTTTTTTTTGTGCAAAAAGACTATTTCCTATTGTTGTTTCTGATTTATTGGAGATACTTTGCTGTTGTTATTTTATAGGAATACAGAAGGACCCAAGTTTTATGTATGGCGAGCATTTGGCATCAAACACGTAAGTTATGCATCTAAACCTTTTTATATGTGCTTATGTGAAATAAGTTTCCTTCTTTTTTTTTCCCCGACATATTTGAACACTTCTATAAAATGGACAGATTCATGCATCATCATGGATCTGTTTTAGAATTTCTGCTCTTCCACTATCTTGATTCGTTGAGTTTAGTTTCTGCATATGTATTATGCTTATAGGTTTATGACTTTGCTCTTTCTAATTCTTATTATAGTGTTGTTACTATCTGTAGCACCATTACGACAATATATTTTCTTACTAGCTTCTAAGAATTTTCAGTGGTGGCAGACTTCATTTTCTCAGTGTTCTCTTCAATTGTCTGTCTTCCTGTGCTCGGTATATTACTACTGTTATGTTAAGGCTAAGATGTCAAGGTTCTTACTTCCCAATTTTTACTTTAGATGTGTATAGAATATTAAATTTTATCTTGTCTTAGGATTGTTTTACAGTGAGTATATATACAAGTTCTATTTAAACCATTTCTCCCATATTTAATCTATTGGTTGTGTGAATTCTAGCGAAATGTCATGGCATTTTGTCTTGATAATATATTACTATATATCAAACATGTCATTTTGGTTATTCAAATTTAGGTGCTATTGAAATTTTGGACTCAAATATGTTTGTGATGAGGGTTTATAGAAACATCAAATGCAACTATCTTTTGATGGAGAAGCTAAAAGCATGACTCTGCTGGTCCATTTGGTTGATATTGGAGGTGAGGCCAAGAAAAGTCTCATGAACCAATTATCATTGTGAGTGTCCAATGGGTTTAATTATGGTAGCCACTTCTGCTCGGATTTTGGGAAGCCCTGAATTTCTTTTTTGTCTGTGAAGAAGATCATTTATTGCCTTTGTACTTATATTAGAATGAAAGAGAATTTAAATGATTTAAGGCTAGCTTAATAAGAGTTTCAAATGTAATGTGGTTACCCTCCAATACTAGAGAATGAGGTGCCTTGAGATGAAGCTTCTGGTGGCACATGCTTGATTTGTGTTGTGTAAATCTTTGTTGTTATAAATGTTATGACTATAGCTTTTATTATTAATAAAATTTTGAGACATGCTTATTTCTGCTTATGGTTCTTGCTTAATATGGTTTCGTAGCCTTTGAAATAGTCCAAGTCATCTTCATTAAAAATGGCATTTACTGAATGGTATGATAATCAGAGCGTTGGTATTATGCTAAACATGAAATTGGTTATTCCATATCATACTAATATAACCTCTTTTCAGTTTTTTTTTTAAAAAGTATATTGCGGTTGAATCTAATTTGACGGCTAAATCTTTGACTGATAATAACATTATTGGTGGCCTAAATGCTTTACATGACTTTATTTTTGCGGCAATTAAAATGGATACAAGGATACAAAGCCTAAGGTTGAGGCTAAGAATAATGTCAGTGAAGCCATATTAACCAAAGCGAAAGAAGCACCACCAATAGCAGCACAAGCACCAAACACTTGATAGTAAATAACAAATAAATCAGTTTAGCTAGGGACTATTCTACTCTCTATACGTTAAAGCTTTTTAATAATCATCTCCTTTTTCCTATACTATTTTAGTAAGACCAAAATTGGATTCATTAATCTTAATTTTTTAAGTTGTTATTTAAAGCATTGTTTTTGTGTTTTAGATAGTGGAGCACTATAGTACTATGGGATTCACTTCATTTAGACGAAGGACGAGGTATTTTATCTGAAGTTAGAACTTAGTGAGTAAAGACAAATATTTAATTTTTAATTGTGTAAAAGACTTTTTATTACTAATATAATTTTACCAATTCTCATATGTTATTATCTATTGTAAAGTAGAGATTGATTTTCTTTTATATGTCATTACTTATTCAGCCATATTTTAGCTTTTTTCAATCGCGCGCAGCGCGAGCAAATTAACTAGTTATATATATAGGAAAATATAGTAGAAAAGGATTGTAGGAACACCGGATTTTTAAGTAATATGTTTACCCTAAAAACTGGATAACAATTAAACTTATAATGTGGTTTTAAGGATACGTGATTTCACCTAATACCAATTGATAAATGTAAAGAGTAATGATAGAAATTAACAACAATATAAGGCGAACCAGTGTTTGAACAGAGCCTTCGAGCTTGAATACCCTCAAGCTAGTTGTGCAAGAACAGTTAAATGCAACAAGCTGATAAATAAGAGAATGCAAATTAAAGAGAAAATATTGTATTGTTTTGATATGCGAGCATATCCTGCCGTTACAAGATGATTAAGGCCCTGTTTATATAGTAGAGAAATTCTATTAATGGTACAATTCTAATTCCGGAAGTAAATCCCGTGATTAACTAATTAACCTCCTATGATTCGATCCGTTCCGAGATTCTTGTCATGATCTTCGACCAGTGGCGGATATATCGTCTTTCTGTTATTATGCTATCTTCGATCTTGCCTGAAGTCCGTCCCATTTGATCTCGATCATTACTGGCCTCGATATTGACAGGTGTTTCGAATCTCGATCCCGGTACCTCGCCCTCGTGCCTCGATCAAACTTACTACGGGATTGATCTTTGACCCTTTACTCTGATCTCGGCAAATCAGTAAAATTGGGTGAGCCCGATTTTAACCATATACAAAATAATTAATAAAAACATGATAGTTTAATAAAAAGGAAAACTTACACTTTGATTTTTCCACAGAAAGATAGCATCAGGAATAGAACGAAAGTAGTTTTGGTACTTCTTTGGTGTTTTAGTCTGTTTATAGGGTGCGGAATTTATGTTACGGAAATGGGCCTAAACTAACCCTATCATTTGCAAAGTGGTTTATAAATACCCTCCGTCCATCTATCCGTCCAAAAAAAAACACGATGTTATTTCTATATCTAAAAGTACCCCTCAATTTAATGGCAACAAATGTTAGCCCCACTTTTAATGAGTTGGCAATGTATTACTGGGCCATGTGGCTTATTGGGTCAGATAAAAATTACGGGTAGAATATACTCGCCCCAATTATTTGACCTGCTCTAATTATTTTTTAACTTAAAAAAGAAAAAAAAATACTTAGCATCTTCTTCCTTTACCGTTGTCACCATCATCTAAAGCTGATGCACCGTCAATTTTCCTGTTGCACTTGTTACAATGCACCACAGAACAACTCTAGTTTGGTAGATGTGTGTATAAACATTGTCGCGCCCATTTTTTTCCCCTCCGCGGAGAGGAGTCCGGGTTTTGACATTCATGGGGTGTAATGACTCATTTCCTTTTGGGAATTGGGTATTGCGTTTTTGGAGAGTCGTCACCTAATGATTTTTATGGTGCGTTAGGGCACCTACAAGATTTATCTACAATTACGTTTGATAACTAGAGATAGGGTAAGGGCTTGAAATTATCCTAAGGGGAATGTGTTAGGCACCCCTCAGGATCCACTAGTGTGGTTCCCGGCCAGACAGTTTTTGTGAATTCATGCAATTAGAAAGTAGGGCTCAAATAATAGGGGATTTAAATACACAAGTGTTTGAAAACAATTAGTGAAAAAGAGGAATTTTGAAAAGAATTACAATCTAAGCAAGCTTATAAATGTAAAAGGGGTGTCCTAGGTTTGCTTGTAATATGGATCACATCAATGCAATACCTGGTATGACACTCCTCAAAAGAGGGGATACACGTGGTATTAGTGCACCGGTCATCATATCCATATCTACCCTTTCCCGCCCCGTGAGAGTAATTAAAATGCGGATTGGTCTCGACTCTTATTGCATGCTGTTACCCATCCCTTGCTATCAGTCCCAGAGGAATTTAGGACTCATATCCTATAAGGAGGTTCTAGGCAGACCCTCAGGCTTAAAGGCAAAATACTAAGGCAACATACAAAACAAGTAGGACTGCATTTAAGGGGGGGAAACACAGAAAACAAGCAGAAGGCTCAGTTATACCTCCATAAATAATGCACATAGACAACATGACTTATACACAGTTAAGGTCTAAATTTAAAATCCTAAAGCAGGGTGTTTAAGTGGTAACATCAGAACCAAATTTATTACATGACTCAGAAAAGAAGTCCGAATAAGGTTTGCCTACTGATTTTAATAGTTGATAATTAAACAAAGGCAATTCCAGTTTTATTTAAGTTATTACCTAAGGCTTTCTTAGGCGCAAAGCGAGATGCAGCAGTTGTTCTAAGTCATTAAGACAGTTTGGAGATTATTTTCATTACCTAAAACATGATGTTCTAGTTGTAGAGATTGTTGCCAATTTTATTTAGAAAATATGACAATGTGAAAATTATTACTTTACTACCCTTTTCATGAATCAGTAGTTAACTAGGCATTTTTTAATCAAAATGCAAACATGATCCTAGAACATGGTATCTAATATGCACATGCAAATTGCAAGGTTGTTGAAAACAAAATTCCTAAGGCATGATTTCTATATGTACACAAGAGTTGCAGAAATTTTCAAATAACAGCTTTTTATACCAGTGTTGTTATTGTCCTAGGAGCATGATTTCTAAGTGATAGACACAAGACATGGATTAATGAATGAAGTGCTGAAGCAAGAAACATAGGTCTTAAGAACATGATTTCTAATGCATGTACGAATCCTAAACATGGTTTCTATTGCACAAATAGGAATATAAACCTAATGACAGGTTTTCTACCCTTAACAAATTATAGCATGCATATTTCTTCATCCCTTTTCACTAGCCACCTCAATACTTGTTTACAAATTATTACAGACCATGTGATAGAATTACATAAAAAGTGAAAAATAAGAAGTTACAACTATAGAAAGCCTGATTTTGACTTCCTCTTTGAGTTAGGTAATAAACCACCTCAAATGCCAATATTGTTCCATAGTCTTTCTCATATCTATGTGTGTCAGAGTTTCTTAAGGACCTCAAAGGATCCCGGGCAGTGCTCGTACCTAGATTGCATAACCAAGAGTAAGTGCAGTATGGAAGGACCATCTCTTATGTGTCCAAGTTCAGAGGGAGCTCAAGGGTCCCAAAGCAAGGCTTACGCAAGAGGGGCAGAACCTAATGATCTAAGAGTACATGTGAGAGTTTTTGTCATAGATTTAAGAGAGTTGACTTGAAAAACAGTTTTGAAAATGATTGGTTTGAAATAAATTTGTAACAGCAACAGAAGAGTTGCTTAGGGAAAAACAGTTTTAAAAGGGACAGGGGATAGGAGCAACAATCAACACATACAGAATAAGTTCAGAGAGCAGTACAGCTTCAGCAGTTACAAACAGGGAAGTAAGAGTTGGGGACATAGAGGACCCAAATTAGAAATACATAATTAGTCATGAATTAAGTACATTAGAAGACATGCTAGTTGAAGGACATAAACAGGAAGAAGTAAACATACTGATTACATTTGAACAAAGGAGGGCAGAATTTTAAGCATGCTGAGTAAAGTAGTAAGAAAGAAGTACAATTTAATAGCATGAGCCATTAAGTTAGTGCAGAAAAAGACAAGGATTGACAAACAAGGGAACACAGAGGGTTGAGTTTTAGTATTTAAACTAAGAACATACCATTTGAAGGGTAAAGTTCAGAAAAAGGTAAAGCAATCAGAGCTCCTCAGTCTAGCCTTGGTTTTCAGCCGGCTAGACAAAGCAATAGCACAAGTAGTAGTAGAGAAAGAGAGAGAGTTTGAGTATGTAAGTGTGTGTTTTGAACTAAATTGTTCGTATGCTTAAAGAAGAGAGGGTAGGGTATTTATAGCTTTGAAAAGAAGTGGAATATAAGGTAACAAGTAAAGGTTTAACACAAATATGGAAATAATCATCATCTGAATCAATTAATACAAGTACTTCCCCTTAATCAAGGAGTTACAGTTCAAACGGATACTACATGGATAATTAAAGAAAGAGAATCAGTTTGAGAAAGATTAATTTTTACCATATAAGAGGTGGTAAAAGTATAGAGTATATAATCGAGTCTAAGTACATAATATACTTAATTTGGAGAAATAATTCGCCAAGGGTGAAACATCACAACAAATAAAGGAAGGGAATCAATCAACTTAAACAA